TAACATCAAAAAGAGATGTTCTATTTATCATTGAGAATTGGACTGCACAAATAGGAAGTCAAGAGATACCTGGAGTAACAGGCAAGTTTGGCCTTGGAGAACAAATTAAAGCAGGGCAATGGCTAACTGAATTCTGCCAAGAGAATGCACTGGTCATATCAAATACCCTTTTCCAGCAACACAAGAGATGACTTTATACATGGATATCACCAAACAGTCAATACCAAAATCAAATTGATTACCTTCTTTGTAGCTAAAGATGCAGAAGCTGTATACAGTAAGCAAAAAAACAAAACAAAACAAAACAAGACCTGGAGCTGACTGTGGCTCAGATCATCAGCTTCTCAAAGCAAAATTCAGGCTTAAACTAAAGAAAGCATGGAAATCAGTAGGCCGGCCAAGTATGACTTAAATCAAATCCCCTATGAATATGCAGTAGAGGTAATGAATAGATTCAAGGGATTAGAACTTGTAAACAGTGTGCCTGAAGAACTAAGGACCAAGGCTCATAATTTTGTACAGGAGGCAGAGAACAAAACCATCCCAAAGAAAATGAAGAGCAAGAAGGCAAAGTAGTTATCTGAAGAGGCCTTACAAATAGCTAAAGAAAGAAGAGAAGCAAAAAGCAAGGGAGAAAGAAAAACGTATGCTCAACTAAATGCAGATTTCCAAAGAACAGCATAGAAAGACAAGAAGGACTTCTTCAATGAACAGTGTATAAAACTAGAAGAGGGGGAAAGACTAGAGATCTCTTCAAGAAAACTGGAGATATCAATGGAATATTTTGCTTAAAGATGGGCACAATAAAGGACAAAAAATGGTAGAGACTAGTCAACACTGAAGAGATCAAGAAGAGATGGAAAGAATACATGAAAGAACTGTACAAAAAAGATCTAAATGAACTGGATTACTACAATGGTGTGGTCAGCCACCCAGAGCCAGACATTCTGGAGAGAGAAGTCAACTGGGCCTTAGGAAGCACTGCTGTTAATAAAGCTAGTGGATGCAATGGAATTCCAGTAGAACTATTCAAAATCCTAAAGGATGATGTCATCAAGGTGTTGCATTCAATATTTTAGCAAATAAGGAAGACCCAGCAGTAGCCACAGGACTGGAAAATGTCAATCCTCATCCCAATTACCAAGAAGGGTAGTACTAAAAAATGTGCTAACCATTGGACAATTGCACTCATCTCCCATGTTAGTAAGGTCATGTTTAAAATCTTGCATGCTAGGCTTCAGCATTATGTGAACCAAGAACATCCAGATGTCCAAACTGAGTTTAGAAAAGGAAGAAGAACCAGAGAGCAAATTGTCAACATTTTATGGATTATAGAGAAAGCTAGCAAATTCTAGAAAAAATATCTACCTCTGTTTCATTGACTATGCCAAAACCTTTGACTGTGGATCATAATAAACTATGCAAAGCTCTTAAAGAGATGGGAATATCAGACCATCTTACCTATCTCCTGAGAAACCTGTCAAGAAGAAACAGTAAGAACCCTATATGGAACAACTGATTGGTTCAAGATTGAGAAAAGACTATGATCAGGCTGTCTGCTGTCACCATGTTTGTTTAATCTATATGCTGAGCACATCATGAGAAATGCTGGGCTGGATGTTACAAGCTGGGATCAAGATATGCGGTAGAAACATCAACAATCGCAGATATATGGATGATACCACTTTAATGGCTGAAAGCAAAAAGGAACTAAAGAACTTCTTGATGAGGGTGAAGGAGGAGAGTGAAAAACCCGGCTTAAAACTAAATATTAAGGAAAAAAAACCAACATTGAGAACATGGCATCCTGCCCCATTACTTCATGGCAAATAGAGGGGGAAAAGTTGAAATAGTGACATATTTCCTCTTCTTGGGCTCTAAAATCACTGCAGATGGTGACTGTGGTTGTGAAATCAGAAGATGTTTGCTTCTTGGCAGGAAAGCTATGATGAACCTAGACAGTGTATTGAAAAGCAGAGACATTACTCTGCTGACAAAGGTGCATATAGTCAAGGCTATGGTCTTCCCAGTGGTCATGTATAGTTGTGAGAGCTGGACCGTTAAGTGGGGTGTCAGAAGAATTGATGCCTTTAAACTGTGGTGCTAGAGAAGACTCCTGAAAGTCCCTTGGACAACAAGGAGATCAAACCAGTCAATCTTAAGGAAAATCAACCCTGATTACTCGTTGGAAGGACTGATGCTGAAGCTGAAACTCTAGTATTTTGGTCATCTGATGTGAACAGCAGACATGTTGGAAAAATCCCTGATGCTAGGAAAGATTGAGGGCAGAAAAAGAGGGCATCAGAGGATGAGATGGTTGGATGGCATCACTGATGCATTGGACATGACCTTGGGCAAACTTCGGGAGACGGTGAGGGACAGGGAGGCCTGGTATGCTGCAGTCCATGCAGTTGCAAAGAGTTGGACATAATTGGGTGGCTGAACAACACTATGTAGATGCATGTGAAGGATGTCTACTGATACATGCAGTTGGTTTACTGCTTCCCAAACTTTTTAGGACTCATCTCAAATTTATAACTCAAAACCTAAAATGAAGTTTACAGTCATCTCAATTATTACAGGAGACTTTTCCTGCTTTTCCTTTATCTGGCTTTATATTTCCATCAAAAAGTGGGAAACAGAAGCACTATATTCACATCTGTCAATTTTGCTGTTAGTATCTTTGGTGTAGACTTCTTTGCTGCTTATTATTATCCTTTGGTTTTCAAAGATCCATACTACCCACTATGTCTATGACCTCTACAACCACAGAGAATTCTAAGATCTTCATCCATTTTTCTTTGTATGTGTTCCAGCACCTAGAAACATTCCTGGCAATAGGAAGGACTCAACCACTTTTGTTAATGGAATGATTTCATGAATCTGTAGGTGTGTGTAAAAAAAGACTGGATTTAAGTTGAAAAGACTGTCTTGACTCTACTCTATTTTGTGTGACTTTGGAGAAATCACTTTAGGAAAAAGAATTACATAGATATCATCTATAAACAAGGCTTGATAATCCTCAAACTTTTTTTGAGAATTAAAAGAGAATGTATAGAAGCTCTTTATTGACTATAAACCACCAAATTTAAGGTGTTCTCATAAATCATTAGTGAATTTTACTTCAATAGCATCTTAAATAATTAAACTGACTAGATAAATAGATTTGCTAATGATTATTGGTTAGTACAGGTAAGTATACGAATAGCTGTTTCCTAAAAGAGTGAAAACACAAGAACACTGGTGGTTGTACTGCTCTAATTCATAGTCTGTGGCACTGAGAACAAAGTCATTTGCCTGATGTGGCAGTAAACAAAATGACTTCAGTACAGTTTTGGTCGATGTCTCACAGTACTGTGTTTAAATTATCAGTAATAAAAAATAGTATATTTCCATGTTTTCCATTGGAGTACTCAGTGGCAAAGTAGCCATTTAATTGCTTCTGCCCACTTCAAGTTAGCAGATTCAGTTTTTAAATCCAGAGAACCTTTGAGTCATACTCTGTGCTAGGAGAAAAGATGCACAGACTTTCAAAAAGGAATGGGATTATAGTACAGGGCTGCAATTTTCATCCAATCAAACTTAAGCTGTCTATAATTACAACCAACAGTGTACTGACTTAGAGGGTCAGACACAAAGCCGAGAAAATGGGAGACAAAAAGGGCGAAAAATACCATTAATACCAATAGAGAAAGAACAACCAAACAAAGAGAAAATGGAAAAGAGAGCCAGATCAATACTCAAGTCTCACCAAAGGCCTCGATATTCCTGTTATCCATTAATCATATTTGTTTGAATCTCTGCATATGCTGGTTATGCTACTGTGTGGAACAAGGAATTTTAAGAATTGGCTTTTGGAGGGCAAAATAGAATTATAGAATGTCAAAATTGGAAGAACATTTAGGGGTCAAATAGTTACTGCATCTCACTTATAGATGGGCAAAGTCAAATCCAGAGACCGAAGGGAACTTGTTAAATACTGCTCAGTAATTTTTTAGTAGAATTAGTAGGTTACTGACTTTCAGGTTGTAGCTCCTTAAAAAGGGAGCCAGTAAGTCACCTGCTCTCAAAAAGTACTGCTTTAAAAAAATCAGAATTTCTGGGTTACATGTGAAAAATAAAGACTCTTGGGTCCCACCTCAGATCTACTGAATCAGAATTTTAAAGGTAAGTCATAACAATCTGCATTTGAACAAACTTTACAATTGCTCTAATACACAAAGGAGTTGAAAAATACTGTCCTAGACATTACCTCAAGCCTTTATACTGAGACTGCACACTAAAAAAATCTTTCCAGATATTTAAAAGCAACAAAGCGGTAGTGGACCTGAAATGCTGTTAGAATTCCCATGGTAACTGTACAGTATAGGGCTCAACCAATAAAGATAAGGAAAGCTCTAGCAGCCAAGCACGCTTGGGAAGCTGCAGCTGGTAGAACAGTCTAGTAGAGGGCTGGCTCTTCAGTTGGCTGCTAGACTTCTAATGTCTTTTTGTGTTACACAGGCAAGTTTACAGTAGATTACAGCAGTTCCTTAAGTTTAACTTTTCTGGCAAGACACAAATTCTGAAAACGTGGGCCTCTGTGTGTCACCATTTTATCACCCTCCACTCCTAGTTTTTTCCTGGTTCTATCACTCACTCAAATTCTGTATGCAGAATCCCTACGAGCTCCCGGAAGATCCGAGAACCAAGCTTCCCTAGCCTCACCCGTTAGTCAGGTTCGGTCAAGCAGCCAGGGTGATGCAAAGGGTTAACGAGCGGTGTGCTGCAGAGCGGCAGGGAGCAAAGCCAATCATGAGTTTAAGCGGGCCCGTACGTCTGGTTTGGGCGGAGCCTGGACGTAGAGTACAAAAGGGAAGGGCGGAAGCCAGGGGGTGAGAGGGCAGAGGGGGTTAGAGGTTGCGAGACGATTGGGAGAGCACTGGAGCTTTGACCTTTTCTCCGTGCTCTTCTTTATCCGTAGGGATTGGTAGCTGCGGGGACAGCCCGGGGACTGGTGTATGGCCACGGAGTTACGGTGTCCGGACTCCATGCTCTGTCACAATCAGCAAGTAAACTCTTCCTCGACCCAAAACCCTGAGCCGCAGCAATCTGGAGACCTAATCCCGGCCCACGCTGGGGGAAACAGCGACTCCGCGGCCAAGCTGACTCTTCTCAGCGGGCACGCCAATTCTAGCGTACCGGCTGAGTGGGACTCTCAGGTCTCCGGCGGCGCCACCCTCAACTCAGAAAACAACGGTGGCACTGGCAACTATGACGCTCCAGCCAGCGATTCCCTCCTAGGGGACTGCGAAATCTCCCGGCAGATCGGGGCGCAGCTTAAGCTCCTGCCAATGAATGATCAGATCCGGGAGCTGCAGACTATCATCCGGGACAAGTAAGCCAGAGCGGAAGGGGTAGGGGAGGTGGAGGGTCTCGCGGCGGTGGGCGGGGATTGGAAGTAAAATTGGCTAAGGTTCTTGGAGTTGGGAAGCTGGTCTGTTGGGATCTGGGCAGGGCCTTTTCTTTGAGGTGCGGTGTCACATGACACAGGCCTTCTACCCTTTCCCAGTACCGGTGCTTAACGTCGCTTTGTGTAGGGAGGAAGCATTTTAGATAACCTCCGGTTTTCTCTTTGTCTCGAGTCATTCCTCAGTCATTCGAATGACTGGATTCCTCATTCATTCGAATCAGGTGAACGTGCTATCTGTTCTGTGCCTCTTCACGTGGGCAGCAACAATTTCTGGGTTATGGGTTTACCACGTTTAACAGATACAGGGCAGATGGCATAGCTCTTTCACTTCATATCGTTTAACAGACTCCCAAATTGTTTCCTTGTCTCCAGTTTTTCTTTCTTCTGCATGTTCCCCCGAATGAGTGAACATTTAATCTTCTTAATATACTGCTTTGATTAGCTAACAGCCCTACTCAGCAGCCTTCTTTTTTTTGATTTTTTTAAATTTTTTTTATTTTTTTTCCATTTATTTTTATTAGTTGGAGGCTAATTACTTTACAATACTGTAGTGGTTTTTGCCATACATTGACATGAATCAGCCATGGATTTACAGCAGCCTTCTTTGGTTTCTCCGAGCCTACCAAATAAAGTCAGGATACTTAGATGAACATTAAGGCCCTTCTTCATGGTTCCTAGGAACAGTTCTGAAACATCCCAACTTCTGCTCGCACCTGGAATTCTCTTTACTTTTCCTCTGTGTGTTCAAATCCTACCTATTCTTCAACATTAAATGCCTACCTCTGCCAAGAAGCTTTCCTTCAATCATTCTTCTTGCTAATCTTTCCTGGCCTTTTTAATGCAAGATTCACCGTCTGTTTGTATGCTGTTGTTTTGCTCTAATCTCACTTATTCAGTTTTAAGCTCCTTGAGGGCAGAAATTTTATCTTTTACATGTTTGAATTCCAGCTATGTCTTTCAAGCAATTGTCACTCAATTACTAAAAGTTCTTTGTAGCTCTTAAAGTTATATTTGTGAAAGTATACTATTTAATGGTTTTTAATTAATCAGTGTTGAAAATTGTGGTCTTGTGAACTAATGAAGTAGTGATCTTAAAAAGTAGGAGGCATAGATTTGGCAGTTGTGGCAGGGGGAACTGAAATAAAACTTATCTGTCAAAAGGAAAATAGGATGATTCTTGTTTCTTTAGAGCAAGAGTTACTGACCTTGTATCTTGGACCTGTGCTGTCTTGGACCTTGTGTTGCACCTGTAGATGGGCTTCAGGGCTTTAACAAACCTTCAGAAATTATCTGTCAAATGTTATTTGTATGTCTGTTTGTAATTTTTTTAAATGGCATCTTTATTGAGCTATATTTATGTACATACAGTACACCTTTTAAAGTGTACAATCCAATGGGTTTAAAGTATGCTCATTGCTTTGTAGCCATCACCACATTAAATTTTAGAATGTTTTTATCACCTCAGTAAGAAAGCCCATACCCATGAACAGTCACTCCCCATTTCCCTCCAACCTACCAAGAACCCTCGACAATCACTCAACTACTTTCTGTCTCTATTGATGTGCCTATTCTGGACATTTCATGTAAATGGAATCATACAACATGTGGCCTTTTATGACTAGTTTCTTTTATTTAGCCTGGTGTTTTCAAGCTTCACCCATCTTCTATCAGTACACTTTTTCTTTTTGGCTGAGTAATATTTCACTATTATGGATATACCACATTTTGTTTATCCATTCATCGGGTGATGAACCTTTGGGTGGTTTGGTTTCCATTTTTTGGCTAATATGAATAATGCTACTATGAACATTTGCACATGTGTCTTTATATGGGATGAGGATTCCTTTGCTTTCATCAGATTTCACACACAATTTTTATAAAACTTGGAGAGGGCATGGCATTCAGCATTCATATATGACTATGTGACAGTATCAATACCTGATTTTACTTCATTACTCAGAAAAGCCCAGGTGGTATAGTAAACCTGGGCATAAGCAAATTTTTTTTTCTTCTGAGTTGGGAAGGAGACAGCAGGATCCAGAGTGATCTTAGGGAAAGATGTTTAGCATCTCCGTGCTTCAGCTGTATTATTTGTAAAATGAGTATGTTCATAATATGAAACTCCAAGGAGGCTAAAACAAGATACTGTCTTTGAACATTTGTTATAAATTCTGAAGAGCTATGTGCATTTGAGGCATTTTAAGCCTTCATGTGCATTTGAGGCATTTTAAGCCTTCATGTTTAGATTTGTGCATGGTTCAGATTGAATAGGTGCTGGTTTTTTCAGCTATTGGGAGACAGTATAGGGAATTTAACTGTATGTAGAATTCACATTCTTTTTAAAAACTTTTTGTTGGAGTATAATTGCTTTACAATGTTGCATTAGTTTCTACTGTGCCACAATATGAGTCAGTTATACATATACTTATATCCCTTTTTTTTAGTTTTTCTTCTTATTTAGGTCACCACAGGGCATTGAGTAGAGTTCCCTGTGCTATATAGTAGGTTCTCATTAATTATTATTTTGTACATAGTAGTGTATAAATGTCAATCCCAGTCTCCCAGTTTCTCCCAACCTCCCTTCCCCACTTGGTATTGATAAGCTTGTTCTCTACATCTGTGTCTCTATTTCTGCTTTGCAAATATTCAAAGCTGCAGTAATCAGGGCATTATGGTACTGGTGCAAAAACAGAAATATAGATCAATGAACAGAATAGAAAGTGCAGAGATAAACTCTTGCACCAGTGGTCACCTAACCTATGACAAAGGAGGCAAGATTATACAGTGGAGAAAAGACAGTTTTTTCAGTAGGTGGTGCTAGGAAAACTCTACTGCTCCATGTTAAAGAATGAAATTAGAATACTCCATAACACCATGCACAAAAATAAGCTCAAAATAGATTAAAGACCTAAATGTAAGGCTGGACACTGTGAAACTCTTATATAGGAAAATATAGGCAGAATAAGTTATGCAGCAAGATTTTTTTTGACCCATCTCCTCAAGTAATGAAAATAAAAACAGAAATAAACAAATGGGACTTAATTAAATTTGAAAGCTTTGCATATCTGTAAAGCAATTATCCTTCAGTTAAAAGAATTTTTTAAAAAAGCACTATGTCTGTGTTTCCACTGTTGCCCTGCAAATACTCTCATCAGTATCATCTTTCTACATTCCATATATACATTAATATACGATATTTATCTTTCTCTTGCTGACTGACTTCACTCTAAAATAGGCTCTAGGTTTATCCACCTCATTAGAACTGACTCAAATGCATCCCTTTTTATGGCTGAGTAATATTCCATTGTATATACGTACCTCAGCTTCTTTATCCATTCATCTGTCGATGGACATCTAGGTTGCTACCATGTTCTAGCTATTGTAAATAGTGCTGCAGTGAACATTGGGGTACATGTATCTTTTTCAATTTTGGTTTCCTGAGGGTATATGCCTAGGAGTGCGATTGATGGGTTATATGGGCTCAATAAAGGACAGAAATGGTATGGACCTAACAGAAGCAGAAGATATTAAGAAAAGGTGGCAAAAATACATAGAAGAACTATACAAAAAAGGTCTTCATGACGCAGATAATAACAATGGTGTGGTCACTCACCTAGAGCCAGACATCCTGGGATGTGAAGTCAAGTGGGTCTTAGAAAGCATCACTATGAACAAAGCTAGTGGAGGTGATGGAATTCCAGTTGAGCTATTTCAAATCCTAAAAGATGATGCTGTGAAAGCACTGCACTCAACATGCCAGCAAATTTGGAAAACTCAGCAGTGGCCACAGGACTGGAAAAGGTCAGTTTTCATTCCAATCCCAAAGAAATGCAATTCCAAAGAATGCTCACAGTACCACACAATTGCACTCATCTTACATGCTAGTAAGGTAATGCTCAAAATTCTCCAAGCCAGGTTTCAACAATGCGTGAACTGTAAACTTCCAGATGTTCAAGCTGGTTTTTGAAAAGGCAGAGGAACCAGAGATCAAATTGCCAACATCCGCTGGATCATCCAAAAAGCAAGAGAGTTCCAGAAAAACATCTATTTCTGCTTTACTGACTATGCCAAAGCCTTTGACTGTGTGGATCACAATAAACTGTGGAAAATTCCAAAAGAGATGGGAATATCAGACCACCTGGCCTGCCTCTTGAGAAATCTGTATGCAGGTCAGGAAGCAATAGTTAGAACTGGCCATGAAACAACAGACTGGTTCCAAATAGGAAAAAGAGTACGTCAAGGCTGTACATTGTCACCCAGCTTATTTAACTTATATGCAGAGTACATCACACTGAAATGCTGGGCTGGATGAAGCACAAGCTGGAATTAAGATTGCTGGGAGAAATATCAATAACCTTAGATATGCAGATAACACCACCTTTATGGCAGAAAGTGAAGAGGAACTAAAGAGCTTCTTGATGAAAGTGAAAGAGGAGAGTGAAAAAGTTGGCTTAAAGCTCAACATTCAGAAAACAAAGATCATGGCATCTGGCCCCATCACTTCAAGGCAAATAGATGGAGAAACAGTGGAAACAGTGTCAGACTTTATTTTTTTGAGCTCCAATATCACTGAAGATGGTGACTGCAGCTATGAAATGAAAAGACACTTGCTCTTTGGAAGGAAAGTTATGACCAACCTAGACAGCATATTAAAAAGCAGGCATTACTTTGCCAACAAAGGTCCATCTAGTTAAGGCTATGGTTTTCCCAGTAGTCATGTATGAATGTGAGAGTTGGATTATAAAGAAAGTTGAGTGCCGAAGAATTGATGCTTTTGAACTGTGATGTTGGAGAAGACTCTTGAGAGTCCCTTGCACTACAAGGAGATCCAACCAGTCCATCCTAAAGGAAATCAGTCCTGAATATTCATTGGAAGGACTGAAGCTGAAGCTCCAATACTTTGGCCACCTGATGTGAAGAGCTGA